CTAAATTTTCTAAGTAAACCTATGTTGGAACCTCCTCAGAACCAACCTTTCTTTACAGTAAAAACAACGATACCTTGTCAGAACCAAATTTTAAATGTAACTTTTATAACTGTACATTCTCAGAACCAAACGTTATTAACAGTAAAACAACAATTAATACCTTGTCAGAACCAAATTTTATATCTAAACTGTATGTCGGTACCTCCTCAGAACCAACCTTTATTTACAGTAAAGACAACCATACCTGGTTAGAATTAAATTTTCCGAGTAAACTGAATGTTGGTACCTCCTCAGGACCAACCGTTATTTACAGTTAAACAACAATACCTTGTCAGAAGTAAAATTTCTAAGTAAACTTTATGTTGGTACTACCCCAGAACCAACCTTATTTACAGTAAAAACAACAATACCTTGTCAGAAGCAAATTTTTTCTAAGTAATTTGTATGTCGGTACCTCCAGAGAACCATCCATTATTTACAATAAAAACAAATATACCTTGTCAGAACCAAATTTTATATCTAAACTTTATGTCGGTACCTCCTCAGAACCATCCTTTATTTAAAGTAAAAACAACTATACCTGGTTAGAACTTAATTTTCTGAGTAAACTGAATGTCAGTACCTCTTCCAAACCAACCTCTATTTACAGTAAAAACTTCAATACCTTATCAGAACCAAATTTTCTCAGCAAAGTGAATGTCGGTACCTCCTCAGAACCAACCTTTTTTTTTTACAGTAAAACATTTATACCTTGTCAGAACCAAATTTTATATCTAAACTGTATGTCGGTACCTCCTCAGAACCAACCTTTATTTACAGTAAAGACAACCATACCTGGTTAGAATTAAATTTTCCGAGTAAACTGAATGTTGGTACCTCCTCAGGACCAACCGTTATTTACAGTAAAACAACAATACCTTGTCAGAACCAAATTTTCTCGGTAAACTTTATGTCGGTACCTCCTCAGAACCAACCTTTATTTACAGTAAAAATAAAACAATACCTGGTCAGAACTAAATTTTTTCTACGTAATTTAAATGTAAGTACCTCCTCAGAACCAACCGTTATTTACAGTTAAACAACAATACCTTGTCAGAAGTAAAATTTCTAAGTAAACTTTATGTTGGTACTACCCCAGAACCAACCTTATTTACAGTAAAAACAACAATACCTTGTCAGAACCAAATTTTTTCTAAGTAATTTTTATGTCGGTACCTCCAGAGAACCATCCATTATTTACAATAAAAACAAATATACCTTGTCAGAACTAAATTTTCTAAGTAAATCTTATGTTGGTACCTCCCCAAAACCAACCTTTATTAACAATAAAAACAACCATGCCTTGTCAGAACTAAATTTTCTAAGTAAACTGAATGTCGGTATCTCCTCAGAACCAACCTTTATTTACAGTAAAAACTTGAATACCTTATCAGAACCAAATTTTCTCAGTAAAGTGAATGTCGGTACCTCCTAAGAACCAATTTTTTTTTACAGTAAAAACATTAATACCTTGTCAGAACCAAATTTTAAATGTAACTTTTATGGCTGTACAATCTCAGAACCAGCCATTATATACAGTTGAAACAACAATCCCTTCTTAGAACAAATTTTCAAAGTAAAATACCTTACCAGATCCAAATTTCTAAAGTAAACTGAATCTCGGTACCTCCTCAGAACCAACAGTTTTTTACCATTTAAACAACAATACCTGGTCAGAACTAAATTTTTTATGTAAACTTTATGTTGGTACCTCATCAGAATCAACCTTTATTTACAGTAAAATAAAACAATACCCTGTCAGAACCAGATTTTTTAACTAATTTTTTGTCTGTACCTCCTCAGAACCAATGGATGAAAAATTGTGTCCTGCATTTTTTTTAGTTGTAATCTCTGTCCTACCTTTTTATTTTTCACTCTATTCGATCCTGCCTTATTTTTATTAGTTTATCCTGACATTTTTTACATAAATTGACATCCTGTCTTTTTTTTTTTTGCCAAGTTGCTCATCGTGCCTTTTTGTTTTTACTCAAAACTCTTGTCCTGCCTTTTTGTCTTCAAATTTCATCCTAGGATCAGGCAACGCGTTAGATTGATCGTGAAAGCAATGCATGACCAGACCAGATTGTAAAGGATTTGCTACTTGTTGAAGGTCGTACGGTGACCTATGATTACTTACATGTTTATTTATATCTGCATTGTATAAAGACTCATTGTATAAAGTCACTGCTTTCACTTAAGAGGCAATAATACCTAGACAACCCAGATAATAAGGCCATCAGGAGCCTTATATGTAAAAAATAAGTATCTTTGTATCTATATAATGCATTTGCAAATGCACGAAACGAAAGGGTGATAATATATTCAATTTGTACGCATCTACGTTTTTTTTGTTAGGCGTGTTACGCCATTTACGCAATGATATACGTCATAGTACCAAACTAGGTGGTGAAAGTACCAACATAGGTACCTAGAGTGTGATGGTATCTAGTCTGTAAATTTACCGATTTAAGTTCTTTTCCCGAATCGTAAGAAGTCTTGATTCGCTTACCTGGTGATGCATGCATAGCAGAAGACGCTTATCTTGTGAACACATCCGATCTCGCTCTGATTGGAGAGAATTAGTTGCAATAAGTTTTTTTTTTCTCTTGGTTTGTATCTTTAAATATATTGACGCATCACTAATAACACTGTCTAATACTGACTCAAAATCATATGTCCGGATACCATGAGTGATCTGCGAACCGTTAACCTTTTTTCAGCTCGAGAATAAATAATTCAGCTCAGAGTATCTATTACAATAAAGAGAGGACTTTCTTCTAATTGTGCCATTCGTTGCTTGCTTTGTCGCTATGTAGACATTGCGTGGCATTGACACATTTAAACACAACAAATTTAAACCCGGAATTATCTCGGAGTATAATATATGTATATACAAAATTTCTTCTAATAAACTGCTCATACATTTTGACGGTGATATCTAAAATGGCAGCCAACGGATAATTTTTGACACCAGGAATCAATTCCGAAGATTTATAATACCTATCTGTATGTTTCAATTTCCGTTAAAAATTGTAGCACGAAAAGATTTTTTTCAAAGCTCATTTTTAACGCATTATGGACAACGCTAATCAATTTAGCATATCATTATGCACCTTATTTCATTTCGTTCATAAAATTTGTGAATTAATTTGGAATTCTTTATTTTTCCTAAATATTAATTGTTGTTGAAATCCTAGCACAAAAAGATGAAAATCGTTTGTGAATTTTTAAAATAAATATTAGCTTTTTACCACTTGTTCCCCGAGTTTTCAAATGATGCAAATTGGAAATCCTCGGAATCAATTTGGACTAATGCTTGATACGAAAAGATCTATTGCAATAGACATTTATTTTTTAAACCCATTGGTCTGAATATGTTTTGAGTTAATGCAACTTTCGTCCATTTTTCTTTATCTTGATTCTATACTTACAAGATTATCTATGGTTTTGAAAACGAGAGTGAATTTCTAGGCTAAAATCTCTCCGACGGACGATAGCACTGATATGAGATGCAGCCGAGATACTTTCTCGAGTTTAGAGAACATAGTTAATCTGTTTATCGCTATTTTCCTAGGCAAAGACAGTGACGTTTGCTTACGACGTCATCATGTTTACACACTGTTCGACTGAGAAAAAAAAACATTATCAGTCGAGTGGTTTGAGATGGCATTGTTATTTTTTTTTTGGTAGTTCCTTTTTATCGAAAAAGTTTAAAACTTTGGTCAATTTTAATTTTGTATAAGACAGTTCATCTACAGAAAAATTGTTAAATGGTCTACGAAAAAGCTGTTCAGGTATGTGTCGAACAAGTCCATATAGAAATAAGTCGATGTGGTATTAATGCAAAATGAGACAACTATCAATTTTCAAAAATATGAAATCAACAACTAAGTAGTGGTACAGCTCTCAACACTGAGCAAAATCAAAACTTTACGAAACTTATAAAGAACCCTGGATATCAAAACGCTAACCAAATCACGAGAAAATCTGTATGTATGAATGAGTTATAAAAGGTTTGTTTGTAGTATGATTCAAAGAAATCAATAACTTCATTATTTACTAGTGATTGAAAGATAACTTTCATTAAAAAAAGAACCAACTACAGAAACCTGCATAGCTTACGATTTTGGAAATATACACATTGTCAAGTGAACAAATTTTAGTCTGAAACGGTCATTTTAATCTTAATATCATCTGAAAAGTATGAACAATACATTATAAAGTCATGTTCTGCCTTTCAAATAATTTTCAGACTTATTGACTGCCGTGAATTTAGTACTGTTTAGACATGTTTTCGCTTGCAGTCAATTCAGTACTGTCCGGTAGCTTCTTATACAATTCAGTATGGTGTTGATCTGGATAAAACAACCACTGAACAGTCTGAACATAGACTGAACAGGTCTTTATTGACTGCAAGCGAATAGTCTGAACAGTACTGAATTTACCGCAGTGGATAAGTCTGAAAGTTGACTAAAACACTGAAAATTACTAAATAATGTATTAAGTCTTTTAAGAGCTGTTTACATCGAAATGACAATTTCAGACTTAAATTCGTTTACTAGTGATATCCAACGTTAGATTACGTCGAGAAAAAGCAATAATTTACAATCCGGAACAAAATATGGTCTTTTTGTTGTCATTTATAGTACAGAATTTTCTTTTTTTGACTTAGAAATATCCAATAAAAAAGGAAAGGTATTGGTGTGCCTTTTAAATTGTGTTAAAGTATGTGCATTCGGCGTACACTTCTGCAGAATAGTAAAAGATTCCTGCTCCTGATTCATCATAGTGTCAGCGTAAAGTGATAAAAATATCTTATTTTACCCGCATGTAATTTAGACGGAGTTTTATTAAATTTGCCTTACATCATACTACTGTTATTATTGCTATTGCTGTGCATTAAAATAACTACAAATTGTTGTTATATATTTCTTCTTTTTTTATCTGAATCACAGATAGGATCAATAGAAAATAATAATGTAAGAATCCAGTCATAAAATAAATGGCGAAATCACACAACGATACTTTGGACTTTAGAACTCAACATGACGGCCTAGGAAAAGAAAACTACGACAGATTATTGTCAGTCTTCCATACTGGAACAGATGTTAAGCGATCTTTACTTGAACAATATCTTAGAGAAAAACATTTAAATTTACTTGATTGGTTAACTGATTTGAATCAGACTTTTCTGAAGTTTGACGACATTAAACGTGCCATCAAAAGATCGTCAACAATTAATTTGAAAGATTTGGAGCTGAGTACTATAGACATTCTTCTTAAATTTAACTGTTTTGACTTGTTTTGGGATGTTTGTTTGTTGAATACTAGACTTGAAGAAATTTTAAATAGTCACAAGGAAGAGTTGTTAGGAATTTATCAAAACTCAATAGGACAACATGGTCTCCCTTCTTTGTCGACAGAGCAATATACACCAAGCTTAACGAAAAAGCAATGGGAAATACTCTTCAAATCAGGGGAAAGTTGTGGAATCAAAGAAGAGGGAAATGCTGCTGACATTTCTGCAACTAAAGATATAACACTATCCAATTTAGACGAAACGCTAAATGTTTTGCTGCTATACACAGTTTGCCCATTGTTTCAATCAGTGAATACCGTTTCTGAATGTCAGATTCAGATATCAAAAATTGCAGTCCTACACTCTGAATGCGAACGGTTTGCGTTTGAGAATCTTTGGAACCGAATAGAATCACATATAATAAGCATAGCCGCTCATTGTAAGCTATCTGGTTACTTCAAAAGAAAATGCGAAGCAACAAAGCAAACTTTTTTTAACAAAACCCTTTCTCAAGAGAACCGGAAATGCATTTTGGAGGACGCTTTTAATAATCCTGATTTTATTAGGGTTAGTATAAAGTAAAATTACAAAAATACTGAACTCCGAGGAAAATTCAAAACGGAAAGTCCCTAATCAAATGGCAAAATCAAAAGCTCAAATACATCAAAAGAATGGACAACAACTGTCATATTCCTGACTTGGTACAGGCATTTTCTTATGTAGAAAATGGTGGATTAAACCTGGTTTTATAGCTAGCTGAACCTCCCATTTGTATGAAAGTCGCATAAAATTCCATTATATTGACAACGATGTGTGAACAAAACAAACAGACATAATAGGTAAAAATGTCAAATATAGGGGTACAGCAGTCAACATTGTGTTATTATCTTAATCACTATAAAAACAAAGAAATATGTAAACAAACATTTACCATGGCACAAAAACACAAGGACGGGATGTATAAGTACCGAGACACGTCAAATGTAACAAATAAACACAAAATGTCGAATAGGCAAAGCATGTTAGCAAAAATGAAAGATACGAATACAAAAATTATAATAGAACAATAACACAATGACGGGATGTATAAGTACAGAGCCACGTCATATGTAACGAAGAAACACAAAAGTGTATATAGACAAAGCATATTAGCAAAAATGAAAGATACGAATACAAAAATTATCATACAACAATAACACAATGACGAGATGTATAAGTACAGAGCCACGTCAAATGGATATCACTAAAACAGACTAATCAGTAAGAGTAATATTCATAAAGACAAATAAAAGAATACTATAACACGTTATAAAGATGATAAACAACGTCAGTACCCAGAATGTATCCAAAAACTACGAAATGATACTTATTTGTATATAATTGTTTTATTTCATCAATTAAAAACTTTAAGGTTATATATTTTTATTACTGAGGAATAGACATCTTTGCAAGTATTTGATCAATGTGTTATATAATACATTGTTACTGTTCATCTATAGGGTTTTTTTCTTTATAAAGATGAGCTACATAAAATTGCTGTCTTGTGACGCTTAAATGCATTCGAGTGATGTATTTGTAGTCGATAATTTGACTGATCTCTGTTTTTAACGAACAACAGTGGGAGCGAATAAAGTGAAATTTACGCGAATTAGTGACAAAAACTGCAACACAAATGTTGAAAAAATATACAAAACATGTGCTTTAAGTACGATTGATTTAATTCCTTTCTTACAGAATAAACAATTTTGTAATCGAGTACGGAAGGAGCTTGACCTTATTACAATGGACGACAATTTGAATCTTGCCAGGAAACTCTGTGGTGTGTATATATAGTTACATAGGCTTCCATATATTATGTAGTCAGTAATGGCTAGTTTGACACTTCTTCCGTATCGACTTTGATGTGCCTAACCGTTTCAAACCAAACTGTTGGCTGTGATATACATTTAGATAATGGTAATCACTTGACAGTTACACCTTTTTTATTCGAGGCGTCTGTTTGGATTTGTAAATACACTGCCTCGTTTAGGAGAATGCCATACCTCTTCACCTAGCAAATCATCACACTTTAAGTCTGTTAATTTTCTATTAGGTCTGATTCACGTCAAAATTTCTTTTCCAAAAATCCTTATTTCAACTGGAAGTCCAAATATCTCACTTCATTCAGGTGTAGAACCTACAAGTTGTTTTAATTGTTCTATTCTTGTATTTGCAAATAATTTCCAATTGACATAAAGCAAGCTACAATCAATCAATCAATCAATCAATCAATCAATCAATCAATCAATCAATCAATCAATCAATCAATCAATCAACCAATCATTGGCTTTTCCCTACAGACAATATTGACGATGAAGAATCGTGTTTAATCGTTTAAATTCCAAAATCATTGTATGTCTCATCCGGTGAGGTCTACTTTGGTTATGTCTCATTCGCTTATTAAAAAAAGAAGAAGGCAATATTTTAGTTACGACAATAGGAACATATCCTTAGTAAACCTTGCATAATATCAATTGTAATCGTATAAAAATGAAGGAGCAACACAAATAATTTTAATGAATATTATATTAAACATTGTTCAGATGTGACCGGTTTTCTAGTGTGATAAGAGTTTTTTCGTTTTGAACTTCCCTTGGAGTTCGGTTTTTTTTATGTTTTACTTTTTTTCTAACAAAATGTATATAAAATATATGCCAAAAATGTAAGCCATGCATATATACAAACAAAACATTAGCAGTGCTTATATACTCCTGGAATGCATTTTTTTCTTCTTCGCAAATACATATACAACTTTGAAATATTCTTAATTCATATTGGTTTGTTTCTTCTCGTTTTTATATTAAACCCATGATTTGTGATTGTTACTGTCCATGTTATTTGTATGGATAAAAATTGCTCAAACGTGTCTTTTTGTTATTTGTATGATTCAAAACAGAATAAACGGATACAGGATAGAGGAAACAATGATAAGCAAACAAGCCTTATTAACATTACATTATCACATACAATTGTCAACTAATACATTTGGTGATCTCGGAATGAATATATATCTCATATGCCTTCACATTAAAAAAAAACATTTGGTAAAAAGAATGGTATTGCAGTTAAAAGATTTAGCTTTAATACCATTAAGTATACTTCATTATTTCAGGTAAGGAAATACCAATTTTACTTGTGGATGGAAAATATACAAAAGGTGCATACTCGCTCAGTTTAGTTGAAAATGCAGGTAAACAAACATACATCTAGTCAAATTGTCCTCATTTCATTTGGTCATGTTTTGTGATTTGATAAGAGTTGACTAGTTTGACTGTCAGCTAGGTTGAATGTTCCCGATTGCCCATTAAATGGACAATAAAATATCATAATTACATATATTTACGGATACATAGTTTCCTTTCCCTAGATATTTTTGAAAATCTTAAGCGATTTTAAAACTTTTGCGTTAATGTTGAAATACTTTTGTATTAATCACCAATGCAGAAACAACATTAAAATTGAGAATGAAAATGGGGAATGTGTCAAAGAGACAACAACCTGATCAAAAGGCAGACAACAGCCGAAGGCCATCAATGGGCCTTCAACAGAGCGAGAAAATCCCACATCCGGAGGCGGCCTCAACTGGCCTCTAAACAAAATGTGTGCTAGTTCAATGAAAATGGAGGTCACACTTAACTCCAAAACATATAAATGAACTAAAATTAAAAAAAACATACAAGACTAACAAAGGCCAGACTTGGACTTGGAACAGGCGCAAAACTGCGGCTTGGTTAAACATGTTTTGTGAGATCTCAACCCTTCCTTATATCTCTAGAATAAACAAACAAACAGCAATACACACAGTAAAAATCAGTTCAAAAGAAATTAACCTATTTACAAATTTTGATATTCATCTATATTCTCAACACATTCGGACATTACGTATAATGTTTCACAAAGAAATATATGAATAACACGTAGACATATTGAAATATAGCAAAATATATTTTAGATGAAGACCTGCAAGTTATGAAATCTGTTTGCAGTAACCAGGTATGACAAAACAAATAGCTAGCAATTTTAGACTTTCTCTTATGGTTTAGGCTTGTTATTTATTTTCTGCATGAATAGATATGTCTCGTATCACACTGCACGGAGTGTGATACGAAAAAGATATACGAAAATCTGCGTTAATTTGTTGGCTTTAAATTGTAAATTGTCACTATATCTTTAAATTTGTATTAACACATTTCTATTTCTTTAAACAAACTCATTGGATATCTTAAAACACAATGAACGTGTATGCGAAAGGATATTCTTTACAATAGCAGTCAGTCAAATGTTGCTTATGTTTAAAAAGATATCACACAACATCTTTGTCTTAATTTGGAGTGGTTATAAGATCTAAAACAAACAGAATGATTTCTCTTGTTCTTTTCTGAATTTATTCACAATTTAAGTGCCAATTTAGTTCCTTTCTGTACTTTTTTAGACAATTTTCTAACCGAGATTCATAATCTTGATTGGTCAAATACTAAGTAATAAAGGTCTTTCTTGTTATCAAATGTGTAAACCTCTTAACAAAACACACGACATTTCAAATGATTTTTTTTTATATTGAATTGCAAATAATTAGTATTTGGCCGACCCAAATTTTTGAATTTAAACGTGACAGACACACTTTTGATTTAAGAGTTATTTGCACAAATGACAAAAACCATGTCATTGTTAAAACACAGAAACCGTTACAGGTACAAGTATAAGAGTGTGACATGATCCTTAGCAAATTAAATTTTGACAAAATCAATTTGAAAGCAAATCAAAAAGACCCATAAATGATAGAAACGATATTAGGCGGTAAGCCACAACTTCGTTATGCACTAACTCTATTTTTCAAATAGTTAATATTTCCCAGGAGGAAGATAAACTTGTCATATGAACTTCATAACATAAAAGACTTGTAGGTAGTTTCCAATATAAAGTATAATTCAACGGAACCTAAATTCTTTTTAAAAGTACTAATCAGGATTGATTTTGGATCTCAAACAAGACATTGGCGATATAAACTTTTCATATGTATTTCATAAAAATCTTATAAAAATGTAGGTTTGAGAGCGCTTTCAGTTAAAATGTTCCATATAATTCATGTATCCAAGGGACAAAAATGTTCCATATAATTCATATATCAAAGGGACAAAACTAATTTAAAATACAGGATCAGCGGTGATTTTCAAACTCGTCCGAAACAAAGCTGTTGTAAACTTTTGATTTGAGTTTATAACAATACTTCGGGAAATGAAATGCAATTAGAAAGTTCATATTTCCAGTGACCCAAATTTCTCTTTTATAGTTCTTTGGGACCAATGTTCGACCTTAAAAACATTGCTAGTTAGCAAACGATAGAGAGTTAACAATGCAATGTTCCATATAATTAAGATTTTAAAGGGACATTTATACTTGAAAATGTTTGGCCGGCACTGATTTTCTTACTCGACAATGACAACGCTTATATACCTTTAAATAAATTTCATAAAAACTGGTTGAATTGTACGAGTAAGAGCGCTTAGAATTGACATTTCAAAGTGTCATAACCATTTATAATTGACTGATCCGCGCGAATTGTCAAACGGGTTCAAGACATTGCTTAACTGATATAACTCTTTGCAATCAATTTTATAAACCTCTGTCAACAATTGTACATGTGAGAGTCCTTAGATGATTGCACGGGCGCATAGATACACGGACGGACACTCGGTATTCCTATGTTCTCTGAACCAACTGCAGTGGTTGTCAAATATGCTTTTAGGGAATTGATCTGTATGATATTGATGTGTACAGGCCGATAAAAACTACTGAAAAGTCTGAACATATCTAAATTGATTGTAAGCGAATTGTATTGACAGTACTGCATTTACCGCGGTGGATAAGTGTGAACATCTACCGAGAGACTGAAAATGACTTAAAAGTTTATTGTTTAGTCTTCTAAGAGGTATTCAGATCACAATGACGATTTCAGATTAAGACGGCTTTCCTAGTGTATTTTGGTCGGTGTTTGAATATCCGTAACTTTCGCCTTTCGTATTGTTTCTTCAGATTTACAAAGTCAAAAATTAAAGAAGAGAAACACAGTCCTTCTGGAAATCCTATGTGTAATGAGAAATTTGAATAATTTTAATTTATTAAATTGTGTGGGTTTTTTAGGGGGTACCAAAGCATAAAAACATTCGTTGCAGTTGAAGATCATGAAGAAGAAAAATGTAAAATAGCATAAACCAATTTTAGGTCTTAAATCCTAATAATATAGGATATCAATATTATGGAGAATGCATGGAGTAAACGGAACGAAAATCCCATGATATTAAGCCATGCAGAGTAACCTACATTTCATTTTTCACAGATCAGTCTGTTATTTAAAGACGCCGTATCGGCTATTCCAGAATAAAACATGGATATCTTCTTAAAAACGAAGGGAAACCATTAACATTTTATAATTGAATGCATTGATTTTATCGGTCCTTGGAGGAGACATGTTAACTTGAATTATAGGTATTAGATTGAAGTTTTCAAAGAGAGTGGAATGTACTACAAAATGTAGATATATTTTATCTGTTTACAATAATCTAAAGTTTTATCACGTGGTCTTAGTGATGTATTTTACGTTTGTAGATAATATTAAGTTCTTTCGCTTTGGACTTAAATTTTAATATATTAAAGAACTTACTGTTTGATTTTTAAACAGCTCCTATTGTAAACATGTTTCAATGAGCTTTCGCAGCGATAAAGCATTTTCGCACTATTGAAGGCGACGTAATGCACAAGTTAATCAATCAATAGCATAGAAATAATTTACTTATTCACAAGCAGCGTTCCCCTCAGTGATGGCTAACATAAAATTTCTTTAGTTGGATAAGTCACAATTAAAATTGGATATGTGCAGTGGAAAAAACAAGTTTGAAGTTACACGATTATTTATTTCTTTTTCGTTTGATCAGGTTATGGAGGCTAACCAAAACGAGACAGAAGATGACATGCAAGCAGATGGTAAATTTACAAAAAATAAAAACAAATAATGTTTAATTAGAAAGTTATTGCATATTTATTTTCTAAAATATATTGCATTGTGGTTAGATACCAGTAAACGTGGCGTAGCCATATCAATACGCACCACACAGGCTTCAGATATTAACTATATCGGGTTTGACCGGAAACGATTATTGTTTTACGATCTACAAAGTGACAAAATCAAATCAAAACATACAAACACACCTATGGTCAGTTTCCTTGCAGCATTTTCACGCATAGTTAAATGATACGGCAACAAATAATTTTAATTTTCAGCTTGATGCTGTTGTGTTAATATTAGAAAAATATAACGTATATTTAATTCTCTTAGATATACAAAAAAGTATCAACAAACACAGTCATTTGAAAATAGTACAACTGATTACAGACATTGCCAAAGATGTTCTGGTTGGTGTTCTGAAAGGTAGGCTACCAGGTGCTAATTTCGGATACGCATTTAATGGAATGAAAAACAGAATACTTCCACAGTTGAATAATCATGGATGCCAATTGTTATACCCAGATGGGTCGTATTACAGCGGTGACTTGTCAGATCTTGATATAAGTCTGATTTACACCATTTTAAGGAATATGAATACAATTGCACCCCAGTGCAATGGTTGGGGAAACATACCAGAAGATAATGATAGAAGTTTGTCTGCAAATATTGATAGAATTCGTATTTTCAAAAATAAGTATGTTTCTCATTGCTCAAATCTGTCACTAGACGAACAAGACTTTCTGCAAACCTGGCAGGAAATCCGCAAATGCATCATAGAATTAGGAGGAGCCGAATACAAAAGTAAAATCGATTTTCTATTGACATCAGAAATTAATCCTGTAATGGAAAAGGAACTTTGTAATACTCTAAAAAGACTCAAGGACGCGGACAGACAAAATGAATTGAACTTTATCCAATTCAAAGGTAATTAATATGTCCATATATCATTGTAATCTGTCATTTTCAATATTTTACTTTATAAAATATGTCACTAAGATTTTTTTTCTCTCCTACATCAACATAAACATGATAAACATGAAGCAGACAAGATTCTAGAAAAAATTGAAGAGAACATGCATAGGCTTACATGTCGGCCATTTAATTCAATTGATGTTGAATGAATTATTGTTTAAACGTAACAAATACGAAAAGGTTTGCTTTTCGTAGAAACGAACATTATGAGGTATTCAGTAACCATGTTATAAGCAAGAAATGTAAAGCTCCCTAAATTATTTAAGGGAGCATATAGTGTTTTGTTCGTAGTTCGTTTGTGTGTATGAAACACATTGTTTTCTAGATAGTAACGTCAGTTTCCATTTCTTGATTGGAATGAATCTTATATCGATTCAAGATATATAACCGAAAAAGAAACATTGATTTTAGACTCAATAGGGGAAAGTTCAAAGTCATAAGATACAACAGATATTTTATAATTTATAAAAATGGTTTTCGGATGGTAATGTGAATCCGGTTTAATTCATTTGATTACCGATACACATTGACGATATAACGAAGAGATAGAAGTATATTGGTTCTGGAGTCATATGGTTTAAGTAGAAACTTTCTGAAACATTTATTTTTGGGATGTACATTTGAAATACATCGTTGATTTGAAATAAATCTAGTATATATGATTTATAAAGAGAACGATGGAATAGTTTTTTTATAAGAAAAGGTCATGGTATGCTTCCAAAGGTTGAATGTTAATAAAGAAGTATTAGTTGCAATTGGTCGTCTTTCAGTGTTGATTTTCAATGATATATTTTGATTATACAAGTGGTGAAATTACGGGAGCCGTTTAGTGTCAGGGTGTAGTTTTATTTTTAAGTCGTTATAAAGACTTTGCTAACCTGTTTCAACGACTTAGCTAACTCGTTATAACGACTTAGCTTACCTCACTCGTGTTAACGACTTAGCTACCCTAACTTATTATAACGACTAGCTAACTTGTTAAAACAACTTAGCTAACTCGTTATAACGATTTAGCTACTTTCTCAATTCCAGGACTTAACTATACCCTCTAATATGTTGGTCTTGATTTATTTTCGATTGTCTTCTTATTTACCTACCTAAGTCTACCTAAGTGTTTCCAAACGCAGGAGATCAGCTTGCTCCTCTATATTTGGCTCTATTTCACTGTTGATTACTGTGCTACCTCCGATCGTGAAGTTGTAATCTACTGTGTAGTCATAAATCATAGGATGTTCTTTCCAATATTTATCTAGTCTTCGTTCGAATGTTTTAACGTTTTTGGCAGTTACAATTGTCTCAGGAAAACTGTTTCAGACTTCCACTACTCTGTTGGTAAAATAGTACTTTCTAACATCCAGCCTACTCCTGTTCTTGACTAACTTCAAAGAATGCCCTCTTGTTGTTGAACCACTACTTAATGTGAAAATACCACTTGATGCCCTTTCATCATAGATGTTATTGCCAATCTTGTACGTCTCGATCATGTCGCCTCGTAGTCTACGATATCTAAGTGTTGGTAATTTCAGGAGTTTTAATCTGTCTTCGTATGATAGATCTTTCAAGTTTGGAAGCATTTTTGTAGCCCTTCTTTGTACGTTTTCAACTGATTCAATATCCTTTTTTCTTATATGGACTCCAAACACTGCTGGCATACTCAAGATGGGGTCTAGCTAGTGCTTTGAATAGTAAACAGAAACTCTTGTAGTCTAAGTACTTAAATGACTTTCGGATTAGTCCTACTAGTTGGTTGGCTTTGTTAACCTGTGTTTGTATATGCTTGTCAAATTTAAGCTTAGAATCTATGTTTACACCTACATCTTTCTCACATTCCACAGTTTCTAAAGTTGTTTCTGCACCATCATATGTTGGCATCTTGTATCTCCCATCTTGGTTCTTCGTTTGTTTCGTGGATATTGGCAGCACTTTACATTTATCAGGGTGGAACCGTAACAGCCATTTCTCACTCCATCTGAACAGCTTATCTATGTCTTGTTGAACTATGTCTATATCATTTGGGGTTTGTATTTCTCTATATAATTTTGTATCGTCTGCGAACATAAATACATCAAAGTCCACACATAAGGGTAAATCGTTTATAAAAAGAACAAACAGTATTGGTCCGAGAACTAACCCTTGTGGTATGCCACTAGTTACATTATGCCACTGTGAGTAATTTCCATTAACTTGTACTCTTTGCTTTCTACCATGTAAGAAGCTCTGGACCCAGTTACATGTTTGGTTACTAATTCCATATGATCTTAGCTTGTTAATTAAACGCTTATGTGGAACCTTGTCGAAGGCCTTCATAAAATCAGTATAGATAGCGTCAATAGATCCTCCATTATCTAGAATTTCAGTCAAATGGTCTAGTACTTTTAATAGTTGTAATCCTGTTGGTCGTCCCCCGATAAATCCAAATTGTCTATCACTAAATAGGCCGTATTTGTTCATATGGTCAACAATTCTCTTTCTTATTAATTTTTCCATGATCTTACATATAATACTTGTAAGGCTAACTGGTCTGTAGTTCGACGCAAGCTTTTTATCTCCCTTTTTAAACAACGCTGTTATCTGACAAAATTTCCAACCTTCTGGTACAATACCGGATGAAAATGAACTATTGAAAATGATACAAAGTGGAATGTCGATTATATCTGCAAGTTCATATAAAACTTTAGGATGTACCTGGTCAGGCCCTGGTGACTTTGACGTATTTAGGTTTTTTAGTAATTTGTTAATTTCTTTTGGTTTAAAGACTTCATCACTAGACGATTCATCGTACTTAATATCTTTTAAAAAAGTTTCATCCTCATCATCTTCTTTAGTGAATACACTTGTGAAAAATTCGGCAAGTATTTCAGCCTTATCAGTATCATTGCTTGCAATAAACGTTTTGCCATCTCTTTTATCGTGAAGTTCAGAAATACCACTTTTCGACTTTCTCTTTGAGTTAATATATGGCCAAACATTTTTACAATTTGTCTTTGCTGATTCAGCAATGTCTTTTTCACGGTTTTTACGTTCTCTAATTACAGTTGATTTTGCCTTGTTCCTAGCTTTAGTATACTCCCTATAACTATCATTGTCTCTCTTATTTGAATACTTTTCCCATGCTCTATGTTTTTTCCTTATTACTCTTCTAGCTTCTACACTTAAAGGTTCTTTATTATACTTCTTTTTCGATATTTTCTTTTTAGGAATATGGTTGTTTATTGCTATTTGTAATCTATCCACAAAAGCACTCACCTTTTCTTCAGTGTTTTTGTCTGCTAATAATTCTTCCCAATTAACATTTAAATCTTGACGTAACATTTCAAAGTCTGCTTTAAAATAATTAAACTTTTCCGACTTAGATTCTATATTGTTAATAAAATCTTTATCATTTACCAATACTAAATCTAATAGTGATGGTTCCTGGTTTATGCGATATCTCGTAGGTTGATCTACCATTTGCTGGAAGAAGCAGTCTCTTATACATTCTAAAAAGTTTTCACTTACACTGTTTTGGCGGACCAACTTTCCCAATTTATAGACGGAAAATTAAAATCTCCAGTTAGAAGTATATGTGTATATTTTTCTTCTAAGTTACTTATTTTCAATAATAGTTCATTTAATAATCTATGATTCTCTTCTGTTGATGACGGACTTTTGTATATACATCCTACTAAAAGTTTATCATTATTCATTAGATTAATCTTAGCACATGTGAATTCCTTAAAGTCGTGTTTAAAAGTTATCTCTACTGCTTGCAGCTCTTGCTTGATGTACATTATACTACCTCGACCATTATTTGGTGGAAAATTTTATTAATAGATTTTTAAATTTTGACTATAATTTTACATTAATTAGAAACAGAAAATGGATGATTACAATTTCAAAAGAGAAATTGAAGATGAAATACATTTTGACTTAAATGTCCTAAATACAGCGAAGATCGCATGGATTTTCTAGAAAATGTAGAACTTTTTAAGGTCGTCTAATTTAAAGACATTTACTGATAAATCTAAATTGTTTAATTTTTCTTGATGAATTGTTCAAGCAGAAGAGGTAAATCATAGATGCCTATTTTTGGTTTGCTTTGTTTTATCAGTAGTGGATCAAGGGCTTTTAAAAGGGGGAGTTGTTTCATGTTAATAAGGGGAGGAGGAAGGAGCCAAACCTTATAATATACTATTTTTTTAAGAATAAGGAGATAACCAGTAAAATTCAACGGGTCAGCAAAATAGCCAAAAAGATTAGCATGCATAGGAATCTAACTTACTTCTAGACTATTTGACTATAGAAAAGGGTTTGTTTAAAGTGTGTTGGAAGGGGGCAAATTTCTGAAAATAAAAAGCCTGAAATAAGTTCTCTGAAATGCCTCATAGTGCAGAAAGACGGTATATATATATCCATATATCAAATTTTAAAGCAATAAAATTATGTTGTTTTAGATAGCGTTCTGTCTAACATATGTATGAAATTTTGTTTGCCTATTTTGATTGGTAAATAAGGCTTACCAAATAAGACATACTTATTACAATAAAACTCAATAATACACTTTAATCATGGCGATATATCATTTATAATGCATTAAATTATGTTCTTTTAAGTAGCTTTCTGTCACCGAACTCCGGCTGGCGAACAATAAGTCTGTGAAAAAAGTTGTATTAAACAAGCTAACAATAAGCCAGCGAACAATAAGGTTTATCAAGCTATCGAACAATAAGCCAGCGCGATTTTATATTTACACACTCATTTATTATACACTATTTTGATTATTTCATTAATGCTACTAAAGAAACGACTAAGAACGAGTTTGATTCCCTTAACTACCATCCCCGCTTATTATTCAATGATTTTACAAGAGAATTAACGCATATTTATAATCTGTTCATATTTTATGTATTCTTTCTTACAATGAAAAGACCCCATTTTACCCGCAACTGTAAGGACAGTGATTTCATTCCTTTGTATGTAATGAAATATGACTTTTGAAATATTATTTTTTTCAGAAGATTTAAATGAAATAAAACAACATCTACGTATGAACAATAGGCAACCCACAGACACTGCAAAAGCTCCCAATGGTTCATTAGGTAAAGTGTGTGTTCCAAAACACGGTTGTATATCATTTCACTTAGACTGAGAAACATTTTGTGACTTTTTATCATGTGGTTACATCGAATATGAATATACAATGTAGTATAATGCCATAACTGATCCTTGTTGTTTTCAAATCAGTTAATCTGAATACTAGACGCGCCTTAAAAATACAAGTACACCGAAATTAGAAAAAAAGTATAACAACAAACATACCAAACTCAAGGGAAATTCAAAACGAAAAGTCCTTTATAAAATGGCAAAACCAAAAGCTCAAGCACATGTGGAATGGAAATCAACTGTCATATTCCTGATTAATACAGGTATTTTTTTGTGTAGAAAATGGTGGATTAAACCTGGTTTTATCGCTAGCTAAACCTTTCACTTGTATGACAGTCGTATAGAATTTCATTATATTGACAACAATGTGTGAGCAAAACAAGCAGACATAATAAGTAAAAACGTCAAAAATTTGGGTACAGCAATCAACATTGTAATATGATCTTAATCACTATAAAAACAAATAATTGTTTCAACAGAGAAACACAAAATGACATAGAATATAGCATTATGCAATTACGCATCATGTGTTTCAGAATCAGATGATCTTAATATTAGACAAGCTTAAATGACATTATTACTAATTCAATGCTTGTTATGTTTCTGGGAAAATAATGCAAGAAATACAATGACACACATACGATACTCCAATGTAAATTCAAAAAGGAAAAGTCAAAAAAGCTGACAAGATCAATGCTCGCGCTCGATAAAACTATTAAAACTATTAAAATACAAATGTTATATTCCTGATTTAGTATTGGCCATTTCCCCAAAAAACGGTAGATAAAAAAAGGTTTACATTAAACATATTAAAGCTAAGATTCTGTAGGCCAAATTTTTTATTATTCTTTTTAATTGCAAAGACTATATGTGCTTTCTACCGTTTTTCCTGTATATTCAAAATATAACGGACCATTCAAGGTTTTATATGAAATGCAAACGCATAGCATGCATGTGCTGCTTGAATTTGAATCAACATTCAGTGAAAACAAAACTTATATTGGAATCGGATTTACAATGATATATGATTATATCTGTATTGACATTTCTTTGTTTGTTTAGGCAGCGTACCTTTGGAGTTTAGGATAGAAGGAAAGAATATTCCGTTAGTTGAGGAAATTAAAAAGCGTTCTAACGATCTATCAAGTGACGACATGCGAATAACGTTCGCTAAAGAGGGATCTATTATTATTGGTTTGAAGGTATCGACATCAGCTCTTTATACTGTCGGGAATTTTCTCGCAATGATTGATACTTTATTGTCAAAATTACTGCAAATGTATCCACATTACGGAAATGGACACACAACACGTATAGTCGCATCAGTAAATTTTATGGATGAACAAAATGGTAAGTGTTTTGTTAGCCCCCAAAAAATGAAAGAATGTTGGTAAATACATTATTTTTTGTCGAAGGGTATGACGTATTCAATTTTTTAGAGGTGTTCTTATTGACTCTATTTCAATGCTATGGAAATTTTCAATTATTCGAAATTCATTGCAATAAATATTTCCCATGTCCTAGTGGTAAATAAATTATTGATACTCTTATTGATGGTTAAGTCTTTCCACCTGTTCCATCATTTGATCATAACTTGAATTTTAGGCTAATCTTAAGAGCTACATTCAAGCTAATTTTGCTCTTGCTTGTGAACGAAGATATATATAAATGAACTAATGAACAATGATTGGGCTATTTAATATAGATTTTGCACCTGTGGTTTGTGACAAAGAAAAATAACAGTCTGTATGCCTTCAAACTTGAAGTAGTCATTTTGTATCGGTAAAGTACATATATATACCACTTATATTTGAGGAATATTGTTTACAAACAAATCTCACATGACACAGACACTGACCATTTATAAATTGGAAGAATCAGCAGTGTCCTTAAAATAGAAAAACAAAATAAGTTTTAAATGAGCATGTTCGTATCAAGAATTCGTATATTCGTGCTATTTTCACAGAAAGTTTTTTGTCTGTATATTACTGTTCACCTTTTTTGTTATGCCTCGGCTAAAATAGAAGAGGGGCATTATGTGTTCTGGTTTATGTGTCTTTCCGTCATTAATTCGTTCGTCCGTCTGATATTGGGATCAAATTGTTGGTTACAGTTTATGTATTGTGTGGTCACATTAACTTAAAAATTAGTAGACATGTTCATCCTAAGTGAACTGTTGTATATATATGCCATAATTGGATTTTGATCCAGAATTCACGGTTCATAACAAATTGAAATTTATTGATTTAATTGGAAGATAATGTCGTATGGACACATATTCTTCACATAACGACACTATGGAATTGCTTAAAAATTTCGAGTAGCAACGGTTGTTCGGTGTTAAAATACTGGTTTTAACTTTCTTGGGGGTTTTTAAATATTAGTTAAACAAAACGGTGAAAAGTTTATAAGCACTGTCTTCGGTTAAAGTGTTGTGGAGTAGTGGTCATTTTGCAAGTAGGCATTTATCATATTGTCGTCTCAAACAACCGTTTGAAAAACAAACAATGCGACGTTTTCGACAAAATAACAGCCTTATTTTCAGACAATGAAAAGGACAATTCATAAAAGGACGTCTTGTTTATACATCGAATATGGGATTAATTTTAGCAATTCACGTATACTGCGTGACAAACGTCTCGCAGATGTTTCACGGCTTGCTATCGTATAAACCGTACTACGAACTGGGAGCCGTCATTGATTTCTTGAAAATAATCAATGTATATACTTAATATCAACGTATGTTTTATGAATTTATAATCAAAAGTATTTTGAGAATTTTTAAGCTGCATCTCGGTATCAATTTCACGTCGGTAATTTTCGTATTCATAGGAACTAATATTGTGTGTACTCGATTATGCGTTCAAGCAACCGTTAAATGTAACCGTTGCACGAACGGTTTGTATTTGTCATGTATACATTATTTCTCCTATAGCAGAAAAACAAATGATATGGGTTATCCATCCATGACACAAAATCAGTACATACACAGCAAAAACACACAAAAAGCGAAGGACAAGCGCTTTTATTGCTGTTCTCATCTCAAAGTCACGAAGGCATGCAACACGGAGCAAAAACTGCAAGTTTAAGACGGGTTCTAGCTCCAGCTTGAGCGGAATTCTATGCAAAAATAATTTAGATAGACAGCGTTACATGTAACACCACCAAATTTGGCCTGGTCAAAAAAGAAAACACCGGAAAGTAGAACATTTTTAAAACAAAATAGTTCCTACGCATAGGTGTAAATATGAAACCATGAAGAATATATTTTTGTAGTTAATGTATTAGATGAAAAGTGAAGTAATTGTGATCATTGTAGATCACATATTGACTGATAATTTTGAAGAATACAAAAATGTATGAAAGAATTATAAAATAGGGGCATATATTGCCTGTTACTCAGATATGAAGTACCTGTTTTGGTGCAACCAAAATTCCGGTAACCAATACGGACTGCTGTATAAATAACAGGTTTGCATTTCGTCGCGTGAATTTGATAGAGTTATATGTCCATTTTTTATACCAATGGAGATATATGTAGCTATATATTTGATATCGAAGTGCAATGGTCTATCTCCCTATACTACTATAATACGAGATATATGGGTATCAAAATTATCTTATAGTACTATGTTGAAACTGTTTGCATGGTTTAAATTCCTTTCCACATGTGAAGCAGGATCTGCTTACCCTTCCGGAGCACCTGAGATCACACCCAGTTTTTGGTGGGGTTCGTGTTGCTTAGTCTTTAGTTTTCTATGTTGTGTCATCTGTACTATTATTTGTCTGTTTGTCTTTTTATTTTTGGCCATGGCGTTGTCAGTTTGTTTTCGATCTATGAGTTTGACTGTCCCTATGGTATCTTTCGTCCCTCTTTTAGAAAGGAGAGGCAAAAGATACCCAATTGACATTCAAACTCATATGTCAAAAATAAACTGACAAAGCCATTGCAACAAAAAAAAGACCATGGGAAAAACAACAATACTGAAAACACAATGGAAAAAAATGAAAATATATCATTATAATATTCACACGACGATTTTCTAGTACGCGTTAACAAAACATGAAAAAAGAGCTATTTTTACATACAAGATTGACCTTTTTTAATAATGTATTGAAGATAATGTAAAACAAAGACTAGTTTCGTTTCCACGGCCAATGATAGCAAAAACAAAAAATACCAGGCTTGTAATTTTGTACGCCAGACTTGCGTTTCATCCACTGAAGACTCATCAGAGACACTCGAATCAACAAATTAAAAAAGCCAAATAAATTACGAACTGCATCCTGGAGATAAACTTTTTTTAAAAACGTACATGTTCTTTGTTCAAAACTAAACGACTACCAAATAAAGCTGTCAGCTACAAAAAAAACCGTGGTCATCTAACTGTGAAACAATATTCGATACCGGTCAACCAAATCATGTTGGTGCCTTTGAACCTTTCGAAGGAATGACTTCAATTTTACTATTTTGAACACTCGATTCAATAGCTTCTTTGTAAGCAGCGACTCTCAAGGAAAATCATGACAAAAAAACACAAGCGCTGGAAGGGCATATCAACTGGGAGACACATATTCCATAGGCAGGTTCTGCTGGAAATTGTTACTTGGAAATCGAAAATACCCAATCGGAAACATAAATTCATCTTTCTAGTCTAAAAGTTAAGTAATCACCCGACAGCAATTGTCAATTTCTAAAGGTAAATCCATTCTATAACCCTACTTCTCTTTTCCCTTGAAATAATTCTGTTGACATTGAGACTAGAAAGATTAATTGTATTTGTAAATGTCATAGTTGAGAGTATATAAGTTATAATTGTACTAAAATTTTAACACACAACACTAAATAACAATTTTATAACACTTAATTGCTACACAATTGAAATACATATTTTGTATTTATATTGTGTCATAGATCAAATCTATCCGTTCAGTGTATGTTTACTTTTTTTGTCTATATGTCTATATGCTCAAGTTAAGCCATTTTAATTGATATTTTATAGTGTCTTTTTATGTTGTAATGTTACACTACTGTTTCCAGTTAGGGTGAAGGTTGGCGCTTGTTAAAACTTGTAAACCCTTTGCATTTGTTTGCACCTGTCCTAAGTGAGGAACCTGTTGTTCAGTGGTTGTCGTTTGTTGATGTGGTTCATAATTATTTCTCGTTTTTATATAGATAAGACTGTTGGTTTTCCTGTTTGAATTGTTTTACACTAGTCATTTTGGGGGCCCTTTATAGCTTGCTGTTCGGTGTGAGCCAAGGCTCCGTTTTGGAGTCCGTACTTTGACATATAATTGTTTACTTTTTACACATTGTGACATGGATGGAGAGTTGTCCCATCTTTTTATCTTCTTATTTCTAACAACTGATTTAAACACTCTTGACCTGTACATTTTCAACAATGGTCTTACTCAATCTTTAAAGACTAGAACAAAAATCATAACTCAGATTGCTTTGCTGATCAATTTACCTGCCTTCGGTTTTACTCTATCTATTATAGATTTTGCCAACAAATATATAGTATATAGTATATATAATAGTCACTCAAGCGCAACGTGTTATACGAAGTTGTCTTTCACTTCCCGCTTTGTAAACATATCTGTAAATCTTGTCTAGCTGATAATTTGAAACTTGCATATAACAATAAAACACAGATCAGATTAAGTTGCAGTTGAGTGGCGTCACTTTTACTGCTGTACCCCTATTTTTGACATTTTTACCTATTATATCTGTTTGTTTTGTTCACACATCTTTGTCAATATAATGCAATTGTATGCGACTGTCATACAAGTGAGAGGTTTAGCTAGCTATAAAACCAGGTTCAATCCACCATTTTTTACATAAGAAAATGTCTGTACCAAGTCAGGAATATGACAGTTGTTTTCCATTTGTTTGATGTGTTCCAGCTTTGGATTTTGTCATTTGATTAGGGACTTTCTGTTTTGATTTTTCCTCGGAGTTCAGTATTTCTGTCATTTCACTTTTTTTACAGTTCTCTAGTCATGTCCCTTTTTAACGTTTAATGCAGGCGGGGGCATCATCTGTGTTCCATGGACACATTTTCCTTTTATTTTCTTCAAGTTATGGACATACAACCGATATAAATTTCATCGATGGTTAACATATACATTCAAAAATGGCAATATCACTTGGGTTAATTCCTCATTTCCATCAAAAATATTGAAGTTGAAAACGGTTAGCTTCAAACAATATTTTAAGTTGATGTACATTGTATGTTATAACCATATGTCTAACTATTAAAAACATGTACAGTATTAGGAGTGTGAAATTTACTTTTGCTCTAATACAGTGTATAAAATTTAGCAATGTACAAGTCCTAGGTTTTATTTCATTGATTTTTTTAAAAACATGAAACTTTTAAAAACTTTAAAAAAAAATTAGTTATATCCCTTTAATACAAAATCGGTTAGAAGGAACTTACCTGTGTTTATGTTTTAAAATGATATTTTATTTTAAAAAATTGAAATAATGTTCAAAAGTAAGTATTGAAATTTTCAGATTGTACGCATGACTGACGTTGATAAATTGACTTTGACCTACTGTTAAATCTGGGCACTAACAGTAAAATAAATGACTATATCAGAGTGGATGAATTTTGTTAACATTTGTTAATATTATGTCTAACTTTCAGTATAAAGATCAATGCGAAGAGCTATCTGGTGAGCTAGTCATGGCTCAACAATTACTGAAAGATATTCAAGAGGAAAAACAGAGATTAGAAGTAGAATCATCACAGGTGAGGAATGCTGTACATTTGTACAATGTTCAAAAAGGTTTTACAAAGTTACAAAAAGCATCCATGGTAGTTATTGGGTCATGCAACTTATTCCTTCTGTCTAAATGTAAAAATATCTTAAAAATTGTAGAATGAAGGGATAAACGACTCAGGACAAATATATGTTGAAGTGATATGAAGATAAATCGTCCATTATGTTATATAGATACAATGGATAAGCGTGGATTCTTGAAAAAGAAACCATGAGCCCGGAGGGCGAATGGTTTGTTTTTCATGAATCTACGCTTATCCATTGTATCTATAACTTAAACTATTGTGTTAATTTCTTTTCAAAATTAAAGCCTTTTCTTAATTAGGAGGTATTGTAAGTGAGTTTAAATAACCATGTTATCGTGTCTAACAATGCATTGATAAATCTCAGATCACAATTAATTGGTTAACAAAATACAAATATAACACTTCTACCTTTAAAGATCTTTATATTATCAGGCATCTGAATATTATCTGTTTTTACAAAATAAGACATATTCGAACTTATTTCTATTAAAATTGAGAATGGAAATGGGGAATGTGTCAAAAAGACAACAACCCGACCAAAGAGCATATATAAAGTATATATAATAAGTATGTTACCGAAATTTCTAGCACTCTAGGCACATCACGATTTTTTCTTGACAAATAGAATGTAATCATTTTTGTTTCAAACATGTGAAATAGCCAATAATAATCCAAAAATTAACGGTAAAACTCGCTATTATTAAAACAAAATGTCCACTATAACATGCAAAATTAGAAAAAAAAACAGAATTGGGACAACAGAGATAATACAGGGATTCGAACCTAAACCGACAAATCCCTATCTTTTAACTCGTTGATTTTAAGCATGTTAACCTCGCGGCTACCAACTTATACTATACGACTGCCCATTGTGAATATATAAAGGTACAACCCCTGTGTGATCGATGTTCATTTATATATATATAATAGACATCTAAGTTGTAACCCATTGGTAGCCGAGAGGTTTCGTCGATGTGTTGATGTCAGTCATTCATAACAGATTTCAATGAAGGGTTCGATTCCCAGTGAAGGCATATACAAATTACAAAAATTAAAGGTAAGTTTTTAAATTAATTCCATTAGTGAACAGAAATCAGTAAATTAGCCAATTCAAACTTAATGAAAATAGACGCACAAAGGAAACAATTGAATATAATTTGGTGAGTCCATTTCAGTGGCAGATTTAGGAAGCGTTGATTCTAGAAAAAGAATCCACGGTAAATGAATAGGCTGACGTCACCACAATGGTTTAATCTAAACTGAACCATTTAGCGAGAGTTTTTACATGGAAGCATGCTCGTCTCAGTCAGCACATATCTCCACCTCATGGAAAATTTATTCTGACTTAAACTGATAAATATTTGCCTTCTCGTAAATGCTACAAGTTTTATTGAAAAGAAGCAAATACTAGTCTGTGTTGCAATCTAGTCATTTATCAAACTGAAAACCTCACAACTGGTTTGACCAAACGAGTATTCTAACAATGACCTCTAACATCACAGGTATTTAACAACTAGATCATCAAGGCAGTTTTAAAAAAAATGTAAGGGAAAACATGAACAAGGAAGCGCAGATTATGATGTATTTTTTTTTTTTAATTTACATCAGTTTTAATAGATTTTATGGAGAACAGTTAACGACGATTGAAAATTTAAAAGTCTAAATTCCAAATTGAAATTAAGAAAAATTTGAAACATGAAGCAAATATAATAACTAAAATTACTGAATGATTTGAAGACAATTTAAGGTCTCATTTACTCCAGCATGAGAAAAATATATTACAGTTGGGTGGCAAACGATTTAATGGCTTCTTAGGTCAAGACATTGGTCACGTGACAAAAGGTCAGAGTTTTGGTTTTTTGTAAACGTGCATGCCTCGTGTTTTTTTTTAACTCGTTTCGTCTTATTATTACTTGTTCATATATAAACTTACATTGTTCAAATCTTGAGTGAATAAGCTTCATTATTTTTTATATTTTTTTTTTATATACAAGTGTTGTTGAAGTATTCTTAAATGACGAGTGAGAAAAATTTTCAAAGGTCCACGGAAAATCCCAAATTATTTCTTAAATATGTATGGTAACATATGGAGGGGTATAGAATATGAAATAAAACCATTTTTTTGGATAATATTTAAGTTATAATTGACCCTGAATTTACCGGACACACAATTGTGTCAGCTTATTCGTGGCGAAGTTATGATCAAAGGGAGATGACTCCGTACACGCAACGAGAAAATTGTTCAAAACAGAAATTTGAGTAAATGTAATGATTGTAGTTATATTTCAACACTTTCTTAAATAAGTATTTAATATTTCATGTTCCTTCACATTTGATACCAAAATAAAATAGTCATTGAATGGTTGAATATGGCATTTTGTCAAGTAATTACCGATCTTGAAACTTCCCATCATATGAAGAAAATTATTGATGGCTTTCTTTCCTCTGAAACTTGGAACTTATAAATTGTTTTCTACTCTCAAACACCCTTTTGATAGATGGAATGATACAAGTCGTTGTTCCACTTTCTTTGTATAAATATTCTTAGAAAGCATATGAAAATTAACTCAGTGTTTGTATATGTAGCTTGTTTGAAAAAAAAATTAATATTAACACTAAATTTAGTCTTCAATTTAATTAATTTATATTAAAAAAAGTATCTAAAATATAAAGCTTTTACTCTGGTGCAAAAAAAAAACTTTGCATCAGTAATAAGATTTAAAAAAGTTATTTAGATTGAAAAAAAACATAGATATATTATACATTCTACATGTAACACAGCATCAGTTGTGAAACAACATATCTCTCCTCGAGACATTTGAATTTTCTAGATGCGAGGCTTGCCGAGCAATGTACGTATTTAAAGTTTTGGTAGCCTTTTGCCTGTTGTAACAATAGAAAATTCAGAGGAAATCAAGAACCTTTCACCTGATCCAGGATTTTTGAACAGGGGAGGGAGATTTGGATATTTCATATAAAAGAACAAATATCGTCGAATTCATGCAAACAATTATATATTTTCCAATCAAGGGGGAGGGGTATGCTCTCTATACACACACACACACACCCTAATCCGTCACTGCCTTTAAATTGTTAATTGAATTTTGATCAATACAAAAGTGATATCAGAAATTATTGCGTGCATTTGTTATAACGATTTTTGAAGAATTTAAAAAAAGTGCAAGATTGATTATTGCAATTTCAAAAAATCTATATTGTATCAGATATCAGAATGCGAGTTATTATTGTTACGATAATCATCAAGTAGCATTACTTGCATTACATAAAAACCTCAATATGATTTTTGAACAGTATTAAATTTGAAAATTCTGACAATTTTTACTAAAATATTATTTTTAGGTCCACAACAAAACTAGATTTTTACCATTTAAGAAAAAGTTGCATGTAGATACATTTGTATCAGATTTCAGAATGTTTGTACTATTGCAATACTTAATAAGTTATTATTCGTATTAACAAAAACCATTAATATTTTTTGAATTTACAGTTCATTTTTAATAGCCGCAAAATATTAATCTGGAATCAATCAGTACATTTATACTTTAAATCAGGGAACTTAATCAAATAAAGTGTTAATACTAAACAGGTATGACAGTGGATAATTACAAACATAGTGACACCATACAAAGCGGGGGGATTGGCCTAGTGTCCCCGCATCTACTCTGTTGTTCCTATGTCTCAAAATTCTGCTCGCTTCGGCTAAGTCCCCAACATCTTTCTTTTCTAAGCATAGAGCAACTCCTCTAAGGTGAAGTAAGGGGGCACTTTATATAAAGTCCAGCGTCTAAGTTCTGTACCTATTTTTTTATATTTCTGAGTCTAGAGCATCCCTTGTAAGTCACCCCCTGGAAAGCCAACAACCTACAACTCCTCTTTTTCCTATGCTGCCTAAAACAAATGTACTGTTTTGTTCATTGCTTATGTCTGTGACTTATAACTGCTAACAGCCACATTATTTGAACTCTGGTGGATAGTTGTCTCGGTGGCAATCAAACCACATCTCCTTATTTAAGTATGGGTTATTTGAAGTAGATGATTAAGAGACATTCAAACATTTGAAAAAAAAATTCTGCAATGATTTACAAGTCATCTAAAGATTTCAGTTTACATTTATATATCAACAACAATAACATTTGGTTGTATAAATGGTGTCATTATGTTTGTAATTGTCCATTGTCATACCTGTTTCCTTGATTAAAAGTAATTCCTAGGGTGGGAATTGAACCCATGTAAATCTACACCATTGTTCTCTATATACATATATAAAATATATTAAATGCAAAAAATGCAGCTGTAATGTGAACATGGTAAATTTACGTCATTATAGCCTCAATTTTTTAAAGGGACCTAGGTAGACCTATTTTTTGGGCAAGGTGTATTATATAACTCTTGAAAGCCATAAAATACCATCTGTAAATACTGATACTATATTTACTGTTAAACAATAATACTAAAATAGTGGTTATTGCTAAGTATGCAGGGACAACAACGTGCATTTTAAGTAAACAAACATCAATTAACGACCACGTGTTTGTTTGCTGTGTTTGAATAGTAAAACGACCCACCAGCTTCATTTACACGAATTTTTGCTGAGCCAATCAAATAAACAAGTCTGTATACTTAATACGTTTTACAAAAACTGTATTGGTTGTTATTACTTGTGTATGCATGGAAATATAATGAAGATAACATTGATTTTACCGTAAAAAATGAATACTAGTACACAACATAACGGAGATGTACACATCAAACACATTCTACTTTTGTAACGATGGACGGTAAAGTAAAGCCACTTATATAACAGTAAATGTCATTGTATAAGCTACCAAAAAATATCAATAATTTGCATATTCATGGCCGGACACGCAATTGTGTCAGCTTTTGTTTTGATGGAGAAATTTAAACATTGGAAACCGCCATTATTACATAGGCAACAAACTGATTTTCAATTTTGGATTAAAGCACATTGCGCACATTGCCAGCATATTATGCATAACCAGTCATTTGAAAATATATCGATAAATTTGTTTACTACACTCACTATTCTATTTTTTAGTCAATTAAATGTTTTTATTTCCTAATGAACCGGACTTCGTTTTAAAAGACGACGATGATAAAAATATAGGTGGCGCTGTTTATGGGCGCGAACCTTTTACATACGGGTACTTTTTGTGTCGATATTTTGACCTGTACCTGTCAAACCCAGGCGTGTGTCGTTCAACTGATAAAACTATTTCAGAAACATTGTGATTTTAGGTAGAAAAATGTGTAAAAGAGAACTGGAAAAATGTTATACTGACGGTGTAAGAGATGCTGTTATAATTGCGGAGTATAAACAGGTAATTAATAGTTGGCAAAGGTGAATTCCTCATAAATATAACAACAATATTACAATATTGTCAACATAAAATAATAACTACAGAAAAAAAAATGGCAACATGCCCTTAAATTAACACAGGCAACAAAAATAATTGGTCGCAGAACTGTTTTTTTTTAGATGCAAAACTAAAGAAACATATCACAGAGTTAACATAAAGTAGCTTTTGTAAAAAAAAAAGTGGACACATACGGGATGGAAGAAGTCTTTGCACAAATAACCTAATATCAATATACTATTTGGTGAAAAAAAAATCTTACTTAAGAGTGTGATTTTGGAAAGAAAATCAACCTCATTCTTTATGAATTTATATGTATTCATATAAACTTCTTGCCAGTCTTTAACTCTTCTAACAATATTGATTTATTGACTAAATTTCAATTTGGTTTTTTTTCAGATTTGTTCTCAGTTAAGTGAAAGACTCGTAAAACAACAAACAGCCAATAAAGAAGAGATAGGAAGAATTAAGGTTCATAGTTATAATGTCATTATATATCAGTCTCTAACCAGGATTTTTAAAACCAATGAATTGTCAGCATACTATACAAGAAAGTTAAATCACAAAAATACTGAACTCCGAGGAAAATTCAAAACGGAAAGTCCCTAATCAAATGGCAAAATCAAAAGCACAAACACATCAAACGAATGGACAACAACTGTCATATTCCTGACTTGGTACAGGCATTTTCTTATAAAGAAAATGGTGGATTGAGCCTGGTTTTATAGCGCTAAACCTCTCACTTGTATGACAGTCGCATCAAATTCCATTATATTGACAGCGATGCGTGAATAAAACAAACAGACATAATAGGTAAAAATGTCAAAATAGGGGTACAGCAGTCAACACCGTGTCACAATTTTAATCACAACAAAAACAAACAAATAGTTAACAAAGAAGCACAAAAAAGCATATATCACATTTAACAACCTCGTTCATTGCTCACTTATTTTTGTATTTTATTTATGTATGCCAAATCAACCCATAAAGGATCGAGGGATTTCAAGCACTGGGATCGAATCGTAATTTTAACATTAACTCTGGCGTAGAATCGCGTGTTTGACGTCAGATTGTAAACGTCACACAGGTAGAGATATAAGATTATTTTGTCGTTCAAAGTATGCAAAAATTATAATAGAACAATAACACAATAAGGGATGTTTAAAGTACAGAGACAGTTCATATGTATCAAAGAAACATAAAAAGTCACACGGACAAAGCACAAAAGTAAAAATGAAAAATAATACAAACAACACAATGACGGGGTGCATAAGTACAGAGCCACGTCAAATGTGTATATCACCAAAAACAGACCAAACATTAAAAGTAATATTAATAATACAAATAAAAGAACACTTTAACACGTTATTAAGATGATAAACAGCGTCAGTACAAAAAATCTATACTTCAAGACGATCATGTATTATTTGTGAAGTTGATACGGAATATTTATCAATAAGGTCTAATTTAGAGAAAAAATTATTGATACTGTTTGAAATTTACTGTTCATTATTAGATATTTTGAAAAAATAATTAAAGAAAAGTTTTACAAATTTTTTAACGACATTGTATTAATGATAAAGGATATTTTGGAAATTGTATCTTCATTTTCTTTGTAAATATTTTGAAGAAATGAAGAACTTCGTAGTAGGTTTGTTTGTTATTCTGTATAAATTAATTTTCAGAATGCTATATACACATATTTGTTTTGAAGAAGCCAACCCCTTTTAAAACTTAGCTAATATTGTCCATTAACAAATAAATTAATTAAATTGTTGGTGTAGTTTGATATGCTAAATCTAACTGTGTATAATAAAAATGGGGTATCCATCCATGACACAAAATCAGTTCATGCACGGCAAAAACAAAGAAAAATAAAAGGAAAAAAAAAACTTTTATTGCTGTTCTTCATTTCAAAGTCACAGTGAGACCTTCAACACGGAGCAAAAAAAAAAACTCTCGCCTCACTAACATTTTCCTTCTTTCTAACCCCCCCCCCCCCCCCCCCGCAACAAAAAAAAGATGAGTTTGCCCCATTGTTGTCTATGATAATTCTCGTAAACTTATTTTTTAGTCTATATTGTAATGAATTAACAATAAACTTTTACTTTTAAAAGAAAAACTTTGCTTTTTTAACTTAAAAGGGGGAAAATTCATCATTGTTAATTGTATTTGGATCAACTTTTCTAAAAGAGGTGTCCAAATAATATAAATATGTTGCCTTTTGTACTAAGAAGTGGTTTTTACAACAAAATAATTTTTTTTTCACTTGAAATTGATCCCTCATTGAAGGGTTACCCCTTATTTGAGGGGTTGTTACCAAAGTGTTGAATATATTTCTTCATAAAGACAGTTTTCTTTTCTGGACCATCGTAAATGAAAAAGTTGAGACGTAAAACTATATGCTTGAAACACGTGCGTCGCCAAAATGACTTAAAAGTACCCTTTCAAATCAATAATCTATATCAAAGTCAAAGGATAAAGTTTTAAGTCGGAGATTTTTCTTGCTTTTGAACATTTTTGGTCATAACAACAGTTTTCCTATCCGGCCCATCGTTAAAAGAAGGAGAGGAGACATCAAAAGTTGGCTTCAAACACGTGCGTCACAAAGTGGTTAATAAATCCTTTATGTGACATGTTACGGACGCTATTTTACCATATCATTTTGCCAAACAATACAATCAACACCTTTATTAATTAGTCCTTTGTTGCCTACAGCTTCAAAATGCAATCAGCTGATTATTGCTTTTCTGTCAAAATCTTAACGACTTCAAGGTGAATTCCGAGTATTGTCTGATCAGGTAAAAATAAATAAACAAGATGGATGAAATTAAATCGTTATTCATATTTCTTTCGCCAAATTCTTTCGCAAATGATGAATTTTAATCGCCACAATTATTATTTTTCGCAAAATGCGAAAATGGCGACCGCCAGCGGAAACCCTGGACCATAATAGGTAAAAGTCCCACTTCACATTTTTTTCACTTTTTTTACCACATTCATTCTGTGTCAGAAACCAATGCTGTGTCAAAAACTTTAATCACTATCCAAATTCAGAGCTGTATCAAGTTTTAATGTAGTGTTCATACTTGCCACATCTTTTATCAAGCTACGCCTCGCTGAGCATTTAATGTTTGTTTATATATTAATATCAATGGAATACATCATGCAAAAATTTGTATCCAATGAATCATAGTATTTTCATGGAAAGGAAATTTTTAGAGGTATTCATTATTATTACCTGTCCTGTTTACTTCCAGATTATACATTTTTGTCTCTGAAACAAAAGTTGAGGTGAAAACTAGACATAGTGATCCATCGTCGTCTGCATTGCAACATTTAGTTTCAGTTTTTGATTAAAGTTTTTAAAGATATTGATGACTTGTCAAACATTCGCAGAATTTTATAAAACTTCTACAGAAGCTTCTTCATATGCTAGTATTTTGAGCAAAATTTTGAAAAACTCGTTTATTCTATTTTACTAAAACATTATAGCTCTCTGTAGCAATGTAGCAATGTAGCAATGTAGCAAAGTAGCAATGACAACAGTTTTAGTTTGAAATGTTTTAATATAATCTGAAGTATAAGAAATTTCATGATTTATTTCTTCATGTTAGCCTCTTTATATATTATTTTAGGGACAAGTAAGGTCATGTGACAATTGTTCAAAGATGTTTAAAGATGACGAAAAGATAGAGCTTCCTGGACAAAAGGTTGATTCTCATTCTCTGAACAGTCAATATTTAGACCTCCAGGCACAGACAAATGAGCTACAGCTCGAACTAGCTCAAACAAAGCTAGCTTTGGTAGAAAGTGAATGTAAATCACAAGACTTAACACATCAGTTAAATTCTACTATAACTGAATTACAATCTTCTAATAACACTTGGTTTCAAAAGACTATCAACTCTCTAACGGAGGTGACAAATCATACAAGGAAGGAATGTAACGACTAGTAACAAGTTTTTATTTTGAAAAAGGTAAATCAATGAACATGTTTCAGTTGTTTTGTTTCTGGATAAAAAAAAATGTGTTTGTGAGATTAAATTGTATCAGATCAACAGTGGATGTACAATAGGTGGTTTTAATGTGTTGTTTAAGTTTATTTTTTGTTTTGAATGTTTAAGGCTGTGAAACTAGCTGTTGAGACATTTCAGATGTATCTTTTTTTTATAAGTGTGAGCTGATTATATTACGTAATTGCTGATTATCCAGTGTTTCCATTGAAGAAACAAAACCATTCAGTGTAAAACACAACCAAAGTGGAAAAAATAGACAAAAAAGTTTCCATTCCGTATTTATTTTGTAAATTTATCCTTTATAGTTACTGTATAGTTTTCCAAATGTGATGTTGAATTGATATTGAATCATAGAAAAATGCTTTGATCCGACCTCCATAGCTTTTCAAAATGACTGTTTCAAGGGAATAACTTTTAAGACTGTCGGATGGCTATTATCTTGTCGACACCACATTTTTAATTAGATTGGTTAAGTATACATGGAAATTCTAGTATTTGGTTTTTTTCTGAAAAAAAAGGTAGAACAAATCGGTTACTGCTGTTTTCTTTGACCATCAGTTTTGTTATACAAATCATTTTGAAAACATTTTGTGATATATTTCAGTTTCATACAGAATTATTTATTCCATCCATATGGCATTTTAATCATTTGAGACACATCTTTACACACCAAACCAAATCTTAGCATTTTAATGAGGTATTACTTTCGAGGGCTTTAACAGTATAAACAAGCAAAATTGATATCTTGTGATATTTATGTAAAAAAAATAAAACTGTTTATAAAACATGAAACTTCTCTGAGCAATAAATATTTTTTTCTATCTCTGTTGCATAACTTTAGAATCAAAATAAAACTGTAATCAAAGTGAAGGGCAGTGTTATTGCCACATTAACACACCCTAGAAATGTTGAGGTACTAAAAGAAGTACAAGATTTAAAAGTGTTTATCAGATTAATTTTATTATCACTTTAGAGCATGCATATTCTCTACTCTGTTCTAATCTAAATTAATGACACTTGGTTTCACAGACAATGAATAACAATTGGGCCTATTTTTCCTCATTATTTGTATTAGTTGTACAATTATTGCATGTGTTATAGAAAAACCCTGGTATGTTCATCTTATTATACTAATTATATTTCAAACCCAACATGTTTTCTGGGGTTCTTTAAATGATTTTTTAGAATTTTTATTGTTTAAGGGGACATTACTGTCTATTCTTATTTTATAATCTACCTTGTAAACTTATTGTTCTACATTAAGATTTAAAAAAAGAATTATTTATACCAAAATGCAAGTGTTGATGTTTATTGACTATGATTATTGTTTATCATTTTTTTATTCATTGACACAAAATATGGACAGTAAAACTTTCAACCAAGCTAAATAATGATATATTGTTCTAAAAACTTGTTAAATTTCCAAAATTGTTTGGCTATTTCCAATGCAGTGAATATAATTTCTGAAGCATTTATTCATCTTTTGTCAAATTTGTATTACATACCATGCCACTTGAGAATAAATTTCCTATAACAGTTCCAATGGAGTTCATAGGATTGTAACATAATGTATAGGTAAAATAGCCATCAGAAAACAATATTCTGAACAAAAAAGAACAAAACATTACTTTTCAAAAGCTACATCTGAAATTTTTCGATAACAATAAAAGATGGGTCGAAACTGTAAAATGATCAGCTTTTCAGGCTCTTATGAGACACTTGCTCATTTTAGGTAGCTTGCAATTTTAGTTTAAAGAGAGCTAGAAAAAAAATCATATATGCAGGAAAAATATTTTCTCTCTGAAATACATAACAGACTAAATAGCTGCTTCTGAATATAGTGTAATGGTCTACATTATTTCAATACTCTGGAAATAACAGTAAGTACTCATTTAACGGAATTTCGACCAACAGCGGTATTATCCCCCCGCCGTAGCGGAGGGGGCATTACGTTTTACCCTTGTTCGTCTGTTCGACAGTCCGTACGTCCGTACATCCGTACGTTCCGAAATTGGTTTCCGTTCTCTAACTTTAGTTTGCTTCAACAAAATGTTATAAAACTTATACACAATACTTATTACCACAAAACACAGATCAAGTTTGAATTGAGGTAGCGTCACTTTTACCGTTCTAGAGTTACAATTATAAAAATAAGAAGATGTGGTATGATTGCCAATAGACAACTCTCCACAAGAGACCAACTGACACAGAATTTAACAACTATAGGTCACCGTACGGCTTCAGCAATGAGTAAAGCCATACCGCATAGTCAGCTATAAAAGGCCCCGATATGACAGATGCAATTAAATCAATGTTTAAGACCATTTATTTATAAATTCAATCTTCTTGCATGTTACCTTGTGAACTAGCACATTAAAAATCCGGCTTAGTATGTCGGTCTAGTACAAAGCAGGGTTAATATTCATAATACATTAACAAATTAACATGTCCCCGTCCTGAATATGCATCTTGATTTACTGCTATACGTTAAACAGCTATCCATCATTCATCATCATCATCATCATAAACATTAAAGTCATCTTATCCAAGCCAGGCATATTTGAAATTAGTTTCCACGAAAATAAATATTTGATTTATTCAAAATTCTCATGGAACAGAAAATCGAATATTTTGATTACACTATAGTTGCTTTATACTTCAAAAATTTCGGAGCAAAATTTCACCTGTTGGTCAGATTAAATAAATTCATTCAAACTGCAAATTGAACCAAATCGCCCTATTATACTGTGAAATTAAGTACAGTTAAAATTCTCTCGTCTTATAAATTCCTCCAGAATAAAGTTTTTCCATAAAAACTCAAAAATGTCTATATATATGCACGGGTTTGCGTTAGATTTGCCAGCTTATAGTTGGTACGGTTTTTTTTCTCGTTTTGATGGACGATGCAGCCTCATGCCAAGGTGAAGTTTGAAAAATCAAATGCTTTTTAACTACTACAAAATAGTCTACGAAGTCATCACATTCATTTTTGTTCAATGAGCATTGAACTCCACCTATATTAGAGGACCTATATGGGGGTCCTTCGTTTCTTTTTTTTTAACGTTTTCCATTTATATTCCTTGTTCTTAATATTTCAGCACCCAATTGTTCTCTATACTTCCCTTTTTTACCCTTTATTCTGCACGTTTTGCCATTTATTCTCTATTCTGTAAACCTCATCCGGGCCCTCGTATTACCCACGTTGAAAACTAGACTAACAGTATTTTATATTCCGTTTATTCAGTTATTACCACAATTAGTCTTGAGTCTGTGGATTCTGCACTCCCCGGAATATTTAACAAATCTTTCTCTAAAAGAGAGGCGAAAGATACCACAGGGGCATTCAAACTCATAAGTCGAAAATAAACTGACAACTCCATGGCTAAAATAGAAAAAGACCAACAGACAAACAAAAGTACACAAAACATAACATAAAAAACTAAAGACTGAGCAACACGAACCCCACCAAAAACCATACATATTTCTTGCATTCATGCAAATTACAATACCGTGCACACATATAATAAAATCCAAGATTCTTGTCCGAAGAATACCACTTACTTATATAGTATGAGTTATCATCTGCTCTTAAGTAGCATGTTGTTCTACGAGTTGCAGGCAGATTTCCTACATTTCATTTTTTCACAGGAGTAAAAAAGAAAGAGTTGTCGCTCTTTACGCGTACATAAATAATGACAAGACTGTATGCACGGCAAAAATTTGCAATTGAAACAACATTTCTTACCTCGGTCACAATTTAGGCTATTGAAAGTCAAAACGTATGTTATGTTCAGTATATCTTTTATCTATTTGTTTATATTCAAACAAATCGTTTAACTAGTCACACAAGTCACCCACCGACATACTAACAAAAGCTTTTTACCAATACGAAACTTGTCTAAATGTGTGTGTGGTCTTTATAGTGCGTACTTCTTGTGCCTTCTTAGATATATTTTATATGTAACGAAATAATAAAGTTTGATTGTCCTTCAACATTTTACTTAAATAGTCATTTGTTTTATTTAGTACATTCAACCAAATTTTGTGTTTAAAAAGCTTTGAATAAGAGGAACAGGCGAGATATGTTACAGGAAAGAAAATGTTGGATGGTGAATAAAACCATTCTTAATGTGTCTATCCTAAGTCAGGAGACAGCAGTTCAGTGGTTGTTGTTGGTTCATGTCTGTCGTATTTGTTTCTCGTAAATTGTTTTGTTATAAATTAGGCCTTTTGTTTTCTCGTTAGAACTGTTTCACATTTTTCATGTCGGGGCCTTTCTTTAGCCGACTATACGGTATGGGTGATTCTCGTTGTTGAATGCCGTACGGTGGCTATATATGCAAACTACCACTTCATTTTATCTCTGATGGATAGTTGTCTCATTGGCAATCATACTACATCTCCTCATTTTTTTTATAAAAAAAAAATATTGCGCCGGAAATGGTAAACATTTTTTTACAGAACTTAGTGTTAATCATATTTCAAGCTGACTTCTAAGTACAAAAAAATGTGGTAAAACATATTTAACCAATTCATCAATTTATGATTTCATTATTGGTCCCTATCGATATTTAACCGTCATTGCCAAATGCGATTCTGCTTGAGTGAAATATCTAGTCAAAACATGGAAGACATAACGGAATCGACTGAAGATATATAATAACTTTTATTAATAAAGACAAAAGACAACTTAGTCATACATAACATTTCATGCAACTGAAATTCAAACAATTTTCGCATATTCAAAGGTGAGCATAACAAAGCACGTGCTTTTCCCGCGCACATCATGATCGGTTAACGGTTGGTGACAATTCTATTCACGTCTTATGATAAATTTGATTTACCCTTTAGCCATTGCCTTTTTATCTCACTCTGTCGTAAGAGCAACATGAGACATTGCAGTGGCGGATCTAGGGGTGAGGGGAGGGTGGGGTTCCGGGGGTTGGAACCCCCTTTTTTTTGTGGACGATCAATGCATTTGAATGGGGGACATATGGTTGGACCCCCCCCCCCCCTTTGAAAATGGCTGGATCCGCCCCTGTATTATCACTTTGCTTATGCTGACATCGTTTGTCGTCGTCGTATTTCTTTTTTTCTAAATTTGCCCACAATCGTCTTTGGGTGACTAGTTTAAATATTTTTGTTATTCCCAACTGCCTGCTGATATGACCTCTTTACTACAAATATAGCATTAGGGTCTAGTTGTTAATTATGCTGAAGTGTTGAAATCGGTTTTCTAGTACGGTGTCATCTTACAACTTAACAGCGATTTCTGGTTACCAATCCACATGGCTACTTCTACTAAGAATATGATAGAAAATTTCGTAATTCTACTAAAATCAATAGTTTCAAATATTTGAATATTTTTTTGATGAAATGGTCTCAATATATAATGAAGTTTTGAAGAAAAAAAAGGTGACCCCAATATTTGTCAACTGGAAATCTTAGATTATCGTATACACAACTTCATTCTAGTGTAAACCGTTGCACAAAATGCATTTACAAACTTCATGACTGGAAAAAGATAGTCTACGTAATGCTAAATATATAGGAAACTTCTGTAAAAAAAGCAATATATCAAAACTTTAATTAAAGATATTTAAAAACAAAAAAAGGCACATCAACAAAAGGTCACCCGATGTGTTAAACTTAATTGTAACGTAAGGTATTTGTAGTGATAAACTCCCTTATAAGTATTCAAATTGCAAAGTTCATATTTTGATATTGGGAAACCAAACAGGTATATGTCATGCACATCTTCGTAAGGAAGCCTTAAATTAGATATAACAGTGTTCATGTCATATGTACTTAAATCGCTTAG